AGTGGCAGCACCACCACAAGGCAATCTTCTCTTGTGAATGTAGGGGTGGAGGCCAAGGATGCAGAGGAAGAAGAGGAGGAGGTGCAGCAAGTGAGTGAGCGTGCACCGTCACTCCCTTCGCGTACTACGAGTGCTCCACGGATTCGAGCCACACCACAGCACTGCCAAGGCCTTCAAGTCCCTGCAGCTGAGGAGGAAGAAAGGGGGAAGAGGATAGTTCAACCCCCAAATAGGCTGACCTATGATGCGCCGGGAAAGCAGGGCAAGACAGCCCCGGCCAGAGCGGCAATGATGGTCGGAGACGACGAGGAGAGTGACTACGAGGAGTGTGCCTTTGCGTTCTTCTCTCCGGTGGAGATGCCGGGAGAAACAACAACTCTCAAGGAGGCTTTGGAGAGTAGTGATGCTGAGGAGTGGAAGAAGGCCATGGAGAGTGAGCTAAAGAGCATTGAGGAGAATGACACGTTTGAATTGGTGGAGTTACCGGAGGGGCGTACGGCGATAACGTCCAAGTGGCTCTTCAAAATCAAGTCGGATGCTGACGGCAAGATCGAGCGCTACAAGTCTAGGCTTGTAGCCAAGGGGTACCAGCAAAAGGAGAAGGTGGACTTCAAGGAGCTGTTTGCCCCTGTGGTGAAGCCGACGACGCTGCAAACCCTATTCGCGGGAGCCGCCATCAAAGGATGGGTAGTAAAACAAATGGACATCGTAACGGCATTCCTTAACGGCATCCTTGAGGAGGAGATTTTTATGGTGCAGCCAGAGGGGTTTGACGATGGTCGTGGCAGAGTGTGGAAGCTGAAGAAGGCCCTCTATGGGCTGAAGCAGGCCCCTAGGCAATGGTACATGAAGCTGCGCAAAGTGTTGGAGGGGATCGGCTTCACTCCCTCAACGACTGATCACTCCTTGTTCATGCTTGGTGAGGGGGAGCAGAGGAGCTTCATGGTGGTGTACATGGATGACATCCTCATCTTCTCACCCTCTTCTGACCTTGTGAAGGAGGTGATGCTGAAGCTGCAAGAAAAGTTCAAGTGCAAGTCCCTTGGTGACGTGAACTTCTACCTTGGGCTCCACATCAAACAAGACGTGGAGAAGCGGAGCATGCGAGTGCACCAACAGAAATACCTGGAGGCATTGGCCGCCAACTTTGGCCAGAGTGAAGGTCATGTGGCTACTCCCTTTCCCTCTGGGTTCAAGTGTGTGAAGGGGCCAGAGGAGGAGAGCGTTGGAGAAGAAGAGAGGCGCCGTTTTCACTCGTTGGTGGGCAGCCTCATGTATGCAGCGGTAAACACCCGACCAGACGTCGCGTTTGCTACCGGGCAGCTGGCTAGGGTTGTGCAATGCCCTAATCAGGAGCAAGTAGCAGCTGGACTGAGGATGGCCAAGTATCTTGGCCAAACACCGACCGTTGGGCTGCAATACTCGGCGGCGGTAGAAAGGTGTTAACAGGGCGCGGATGGTGTTGAACCCGGGCGTTTGTTCCTCACCGCCTACTCGGATGCTTCATACGCATCAGAACCAGACGACATGACAAGTGTGGGAGGCTCCATATGCTGTGTTGGTGGAGGCCCAACTGCTTGAGAGAACAAGAAGCAGGTTGACCAAGCTTTGAGCTCAATGGAGTCCAAGTACATGGCACTCTTCCGTGCCGTACGGGAGATTGTGTGGCAGCGGCGTTTGTTGGCTAAATTGGGGGAGGAGCAGCAAGGACCTACCCCACTCTACTGTGACAGCCAGGGTGCCATTGCTCTTGGTAAGAACCCTGCGTCGCATGGACTCACAAAGCACATGAGGGTGAAGTGGCATTGGACGAGGAGCTTGGTGACCGCGGGTGAAGTTGATTTGCGGTACGTGAAGACCACGGGGCAGCCGGCTGACATGATGACCAAGAGGCTGGTGGAGCAGCAGCATTGGAAGTGTTGCAAGCTGGTTGGGATGGCTCTGAACTAAGAGAGCAAGATCCTACAGCCAACAATCCGAGGGGGAGTTTGTTGGTGCAACCCTACGGTTTGCACTCGGCTTGTTGTTTGTGTGTGTGCATGCGTGTGTGTATCGAATTGTATGAGGGCATGGGATAATATATATTTCATGCTTATAATTGTGTGTGAATGTTGAGTCATAATGTCGAGTGTCTGTGTCAAGTCAATAGCGAGATATCGCTAGTCGCGTGTTACGCGGTCGTTTGGGTCTCGCGCGCGGTTTCTTTTTTGTCGTGCGCGGTTTCTATTTTGTCCTGTGTCGAATGTTTGGCGTGTCGCAGGTGTGTGCAGAAGACCCATCAAGAACTCAAGGATGAGTTTATGATGAAGAGCCTGAGCCTTTGTGTCAAGCCTCAAGTGATTTCGAAGCTCGCCAAAAGGGTGCACCTCAATATATTGAAGATAGTTACATTACTTTGTGTAGTGTAACATTTCACTTGGTGTAGGCCATAGTGAAGGGTAGTTTCGAGACCCTTCGTGGTTGGGGACAGTGTGGCACTGTTCCACATCACTGTATCTTGGCTCTTGGGGTTTGTAGGAGCTGGGAGTCATTCCCAACTCGTAACTCTTCCTAACCCTTCCTATCTTGTGTTCTAAGACCATGTTGCTGCCATAGTGCCGTTCGTTCAAACCAACGCTGTGTCGTCAGTTCTTAATGAAAGCGTGCGATTAAAATTGCCTATTGTAGGCAACATCAAGGCGCTCCAGATCCAAGTTGAATGAAGTCATTTGGAGTTGTGAGCAGATCGCTATGATCGTTTGAAGCCGCTGTGCAGAAATCCGACTGTGCACTCTATCTTTCGTTTTAGGCACATTTGAGCCTACTGTGACTATAACATTCACCCCATCCACTGCTGCCGCCAATCCGTCCGGTAAGTCTGTATTGTTTCCCGTGGGGCTCCAAGCCGATGACTTAGTGAGATTGCACCGCAGCCCCAGTCCGGCGAGCCCCTGCAGGATCATAGTAAATGCCCTTGTCGCTTCCGCCGGCTGCCCGATGACAGTGATGTCATCTGCGTACGCCATCACTGTCACGCCCCGGACTGCTACCGCCGCCTCTAGCAGGGTCGGTTGTATGGCCGCTACGAACAGTATGGGGCCAAGTGGGTCTCCTTGCCTAATGCCACGGGCGCTGGCGATGGAGCTGAGAGTGAAGCCTCTATCTAGTAGTAGCTTTGACGACGCACCGTAAAGAGTTCTTGCAAACGGTAGTAGCGAGCTCAGTCCGGCGGTCCATAGTAGTGCCGACAGGAAACTCCCACGTTCGACCAAGTTGAAAGCATTTTCAATGTCCAGCTGTAATATTGTTCTCGTCGTGTCCTCTGCCAGCAGCGTACGGGCCGTGTGTATTATGCACTCTGCTCCCCCTGTACGGCCACCCCGTATTGTACTGGCAATAAATGTGACTGGATCTCCTTGGACAGTTCCCGTAGCGCCGCCTTTGCTGTTAGCCTAAGGATCGCCTCCCCAATCGCTATCGGCCTCACTCCGCCGTCCAGTTTTTCTAGGGCGATTAGCCTCGATGGTAGCAGCAGCTCTCTTAGCGGCGCGCTCTGGTATGTGCTTAGTAGATTATTGACCACTTGGTGCAGCAGGAAGAGGACTTCTCCGTTTGTTAGGACAGGGTCGCGTAGGTGTTCAAAGCAAGTGCCTGATGGGCCTGCGCCTATTCCGTTTGGGCATTCGCCAAGATGTCGCGGAATGAATATGTGCTGATGGCAAGCGGTGTTTCACCGTAACCCCCCAGCCCTTCAGGTATCGCCACCTCCGCTCGCGGGTGTTTTGCCTAGAGTGTTTCCAATGCCTGTTGCGACGGCTCTGCCATTGGGGTGGTTTGTAACGCTGCTGCAGCTTTCGCCAGGTTGGCCTTCCAGACCAACCTCTCTACTGTCACGCAGATGCCCTCTGTGTCTCGCTCGTGTCTGCTTGGTTGGGAAATTTCCGGGATGGTGCAGGCTTGGAGGTACAGCGAGCCCCAATCCTCATCTTGGAACTGTCGAAGTCTCTTCTCCACTGTGTCGAGGCTGTTTCCCAGCACTTTCTCCGTATTCACCCTCAATGTAAGCCGTGGTAGGAATTGCAGCACCCTCCACGCGCCCATGCAGCCCGGGTGTTTCGAGAGTCGCAGGAGGGGGATTGTCAGGCAGTGACAGTATGATTGCAGGATTTCCGGGGGAAGCTTCCAGACCAGGAATGGTTGGGAGCTGGCTCGCAGTGGGTCCTGGTCCCAACCCTAGATCGCCTGCCATGTGTCATCATCCTCCGCAATGTCCTTTGGAGAGCGCTCCTTGCTGGCAAATTCATTCGACCGGTGAGCTGGTGATTTGCCCACCTACCCCCCCCCCCCCCCCCCGTCAGGATTATTTCCCTCTTGTCCTCGGCGTCCGCCACGTCGACGTCTCCCCTCATTGCCACTAGGACACCATCCTGGGCCTCCACAGATACCTCTTCCGATTCGGCTTCTTCCTCCTCCATATATTCCGACTCTTCTTCTTCTGCCGGGTCATTCATTGGTCCTTCACTCTGCTCTTCTGGCCTCCCGTGCCATTCCAGCCAGTTTCCCAATCTGCTCAAGTTGATCTGCTATTTGGAATTCCCCGTCCTCGGTTCCCTGCTCGTGTCGTCGCATATCGGTCTGACGTCCGTGTTGCCTTTCCTCTCCTTGATCCGGTTGTGCGTTCAGGTCCCGCCGTGATGACGAGCAAACGCCGCCGTCCCTCCCATCCAGACCGCAAAGTGGGCTCTGCCGCTTCCAGACCGTCTAGGGCCCAGGAAGGGCTGGCCCCAGTCCTGCTCCGAGCCGCCGCTGCGCTGGTCGAGCACGAGGGGGGTTGGACGCCCGCCCGGCGTTGTGAGCCAATCTATCGTTCTCCCCGCGGGTAGACTCATCCCCAACTCCGGGCCCGCAATGGTTCGTTCCGTCGCCGCCGTCCGCCTCGCCCTGCCCCCGCCGTCCAGAGGGAGATTGTAGGCCCTCTACTTCAACCGCCGCCGTCCTCCTTGCGCCTAGGTGCTCCGTCTATGCCGTCGCCGGCTGTGTCGCCGCAGTCGTCGCAGCAGCTGACGTCTGGCGTCGTTGCCCTTCCGCTTCCGCTCTCGCCGGCTCCTCCTGCGGCATCGGTCCCGCTCCCCGCTCCGCCACCCTCCTCCCCTCCACCTCTGGCGCCTCCTCCGTTGTCATCATCGGCCGTGGCACCCCCCATGCTCCACCCCTTTTTCTCAACTTCCCTCCGCCTCTCTTCCTCCCGTCGAGCCTCCGCAGCAGCAGCATCCTCTCGTTCGGTCGAGGCACGCCCCTGAAGCTCGCTTTCCTCCTCCTTGTGCCCGATCCCCTGAGCAGCCTCCCGATGCTTCTAACCCCAAAGACGATGAGCGGTGGTGGAGTGGTGAGATGTGGGAGTCTCCCCCCCAGCCCGTAACCTTGTGGGGCCGGGAGTGGGACATCGAGTCCGACTTCGTGAAAGACATCCTTCGCTGGGAGAAGCGCATGGTGGCGGTTGGGGAGTGCCTGTCGCACGTGGCAATGGTTCTCAAGCAGTTGCACGCAGGCTTGATGGCGCGAAACCTCGTGCTTCGTGATCCTCAGCTGACAGAGCCCCAGCAGGGTGTTTTTCGCGAAGCGGTGGCGCACTCCTCCGTTTGCCCCTAGAGTTTGAGTTCCTTGATCTGGACAAGGGCCCTAGCGTGCGGGCTTTTCGGCAGATCGCCAAGGCTGCCGAGGAGTCTCCCCTTGAGCTCGTGCCCGTGCTCGCTGTTCTATTGCGCTGGATCCGCCGGCGCTTTTACGTCCTGAACCGCGTATAGCGCCCCGCTCCCTTTTGTCCTTGGTGTTTGCCTTTTTGTTCCCCATAGTAGCCTCCCCTTACTTACCTCGCATTTGTTCTATGGGCCTTATCTAGTGCTGCATCTTGTATCCCTCCTCTAGAGTGTTGTTGCTTCTTGCCGTCCCCTCACGCGCGGCCGACTTCGGCGGCCGGCGCGAGCCACCAAATTTGCAGTGAGAATGAATTCACCCCCGAACAATGGGGATGAGAGTGGGATCCTTGCCCCTTATATACCAGGGAACTAGGCTCAAAACAAGTAGCAACTAGTCTACACTAAGAAAAAATTCTACACTAAGGGACTAGGCTATAATAGCTAAGGACTTAGTAGCTTTGGGTCTCTCTCTCTCTCTCCCTCTCTCTCTCTCTCTCTCTCTCTCACTCACTCACTCTCTCTCTCTCTCTCTCTCTCTCTCTCTCTCTCTCTCTCTCTCTCTCTCTTAAGCAGTCCTGTATTGATAATGGTCATAGGATACAAGCATGGCACGAGTAGTTTGGCATACATGTTGTCCTAGAAGCATAGGCAATCCTGGCATGCATTGCTTGTACTATTCCCACCTTCCTTGGTACATGGCTGCCTAGGCATGCAAGCACCTATCACTAGGCCCCCATGGTGGCTCAGGCGGCCTTGGTCTTGCCCTGGCTCCTTCTCTCCAGCCTTCTAGACTCCCAGGTCCCACACTTCCTCCACCTCATCTTCCAGGACCTGCCATATGTCCCCCAAGACTGGCTCCCAAGGGTCAGCCCAGGCCTAGGGGTATGCTGCCTCCGCCGCCCTGTTGGACTTTGCCAGCATGGCGTTGGCTTGGCAGGGCTGCAGCGTTACCGACCAGCATTGTCGCTAGTGCGCACTCAGCCTATAGGCCACCGTGGTGAGCCTCCCTTGGCGGTGCTTCTTCTTGGCCGCACTCGTGCCTAAAATGCGGAAGAATTTATGTGTGTCTCTCGCTAGTCCCCCGTAGGTTTCCACGGCCAGGCCTAGGACCTCCGCCAACTCGGGGCGCTCCTCATACAGCCCCCCTTTTGTGAGAGTACGACGGCTTATGCCAGCTATGCTTGCTTGCCTTTTCTTTATTATGCTATTTCTAGCGTAGGATAATTATATGCATGCATGAATTGCTTGATTTCCTAGGCTAGGTGCTTTCCTATATTTTATTATAGTTATAGCACCGAGCTAGGTTGCGTGCACCGAATTCTGGCTTTTCGGTTGCCACCAAAATGCCTTCTACCGAATTTGGTCAGGATCTGTTCTAGACGCTTCGCGGCCCGCGGAACCTTCGCATAACACCTGGTTACGGGGCCTTGTGTCGAGCATATATATAGCCTCGTGTTGTACCCAGGTGATTCATTCGATTCAATTCAATTCAATTCACATTCTCTTTTCTGAGCTCGATCCTAGATCCTCGAACTTGGTAATCAGAGCGGGTCTACACGCGAGGTCTTCAACTGCTTAGTTCTAGCCTTTAAAAAACCGCGGGGGCGACGACGAAAGCGCCGATACGGGTATGTAAAACCAGTTCCGCGCAATTTTTCTAAGTCCCCCTCGATTCGGTTTTCAAACACCCCTCAGATTTACTGGTGGAAAGGTTGGAGTTTCGACCGTTCGATCGAGTTTCATCTCAACGGCCCAGAGAATTTCGCCCAAACAAGTTAGAATTTGGAGCGTCGGATCGATTTTCTCCTCAACGGCCAAGATCGGACGCGAATTTTGCCTAAGGGAGATTTACGCGACTTTCAGAATTCGCGCTCGTCAATCCTTTAGTTAACTTGATTCACAGTAAGTCGACCAGCACCTAGAATTCGATTATTTTCGTCGCGCATCTTCCTGTAAATCGCCAAATGGAGGGAAAAGGAGATATTTCAGTACAGAAAATCGCGGAGTTACGTGCTGAGCATAAGTAAATACATGCGGCGCTCCCACGACTCGAAAAACTCCTTGCGAACCAGTCGGCAACCGCCACTGCACCAGCGACAACAGTAGCAGCAGCAGCAGCGGCAACACCGACAATTCTACATGCGACAACGGCGGCAGCTACAGTTAACCTCAAAGCAGTGAAGCCGAGGCTACCTGAGGCGTTCAATCCTACGGTCTAAAGGAACGACGTTCGTCGATTTGTAGTTGAACTCGAAATTTACTTCAAAGCTGTTGGTTACACGACCCCGACAAAAGACGCAATGCGCATACGGCTCGCAGCAACACTGTTACGAGGCCCAGCTCTAGAGTGGATCAAAAACAGAATAGTCCAAGGCGAGAAGACGTGGGCGCAATTTCCGGCAGCACTGATCGAACAGCTCGACACGTTGAACAGTGGCTACTACGGAACACGACGCAAGAAGCCAACTAGTGGCATGGGGCGATTGGCACCACCCACGACTGCCGACCCGAAGGAGAACGACAAGGGCGATGTGGAGCAGTGGCTAGCAAATAATGAGACGTGCAAATTTTGCGGCGCTACACGACAACGTATCTTGGCGTGTTGGAAAATGAAGAAAAGGTGTGCGGAGCTGAAGGACAAGAACAGTGCGGCACCCCCGAAGCAGAAAACGGACGACGTGGCAACTTCGGAGAGGGCGAAAAAAGGAAAATATGGTGGCGCAAATGTAAAACGTCATGACCAGCTGTCACCAGGGGAAATCGGCGAGACTAATGGAGGATCCGCGAAACAAGACCCTGCAACGACCGGGAAACTCCAACCGTATACCCCGAGAAGTAAGAATATTACTTCTTGTGGGTTTCAAGCCTATATTAAGGGAGAGTAAGAAATTAAACCGGTACCGGGTATTATGGGGACCCTACTCCAAAGCGCTAATACAGGTCGAGCGTTCCGAGGAGTTAATATTCTCTCCCAGCAGCATTGTTTCAAGGCTCCCTGTTCCCCACAGATGAAACCTACACAGCTGCAAAGGCTTAGTGGAAGGTTCCAGGCCCAAGAGAAGCCGAATCGGCCTCGGATAAATCCTTCTGGCCTTTCTCAATAGAAAACTGATACTGAAGCTGCATCTTCGAGCGCAGAACCTAGGAATAACATATTCCACATACCCTACGATCCTATAAGCGATACCATCTACGGATACTCGGAGCAGCAGCAACCACTAGTACTTGAGGTGATCTGCAACGGGCGTCGCCTCCAGGCCCTAGTGGACGGTGGTGCGTCCCACTCGGTGTTCGACAGCGGGACGTTGGAGAAAATTGGAGAATCCTAAGAAGAAACCTAGTTTACAGCAACGATGGTGGACGGACGGTACGAAGCTTCCCATCCACGGCAAATCAACACTGCAGCTGCAGATAGGGGCGTTGAGGTGGAAGCCGACGTTGCTGATCACGAACATCAAGGGATTATATTTCATCTTGGGGCGAGATTTTCTAAAGCGGTTCAACCCCGAGATCGACTGGGTCAACCGAAAAACGTGCATCTACAACAACGGGAAACGAGTGGAGCTGCGAAGCTGGATGGATACAGGGAGCGCTCCTGAAACGACACTGGCATGGTTCGAACAGACAGTAAACGAGAGTAACACGGGTTACTTAGCACTGGTTATGGCAGCTGCACAGGAGGAGGTCTTGGAGCAGTACAAGGATATAATGCTTGACGACCTACCCGTAGGCGTACCTCCAGCACGCACCCACGAGCACGAGATCGTGGAGGAACGAGGTGCGAAACCCATCTCACGTGCACCATACCGACTGAGTCCGACTGAACTGACAGACATGAAAAAACAGGTAGAGTATCTACTGGACAGACAACTGATCCGCCCATCCACCTCTCCCTACAGTGCGCCATTTCTCCTTACTCCAAAGCCAGACGCTAGTTTACAGATGTGCATCGACTACCGCGCACTGAACAAACAGACGCCACTGACTATAGCGCCAGTACTCATCCTACCGGATCCAGACAGAGACTACTTGGTGGAAGTAGACGCTAGTGACCAAGCAGTCGGAGCAGTACTGATGCAGCATCACGAACGCAGTTTGCAGCCCATCGTCTACCTCAGTAAGAAGCTACACGGAGCAAAACTAAACTACCCCATCCACGACAAGGAAGCCTTATCGATAGTCATAGCCTTCAAGGCATGGAGGTGTTACCTAGAGGGAGCCAAGACTACAGTCTCTACTGACCACTGCAGTCTCAAATACCTGAAGTCGCAGCCAACGCTCTCACGACGGCAGGTGCGGTGGGTGGAGTTCCTCGAAACTCACTTCCACTACGACATCGTCTACAAGCCCAGGCTACACAACAAGGCAGACGCGTTGAGCTGCCCCGGACATGTAGCAGGCATCCAGCTCAACGAGATGAACCCTCTGCTCAAGGGTCTATTCCAACATGGGTACTCCGTGGATGCACAAATCGCTACAGCACAGACCAAGAAGTTGTTACAGTGGGAGAAAGACTTAGCTGTAAGGAAGGGTTCAGAAAAGATTTGGGTACCGAATTATGTCCCGCTACGGCAGATCCTATTGGAGGAGTTTCACGACGTACCTTACGCGGGACATTTCGGGAGCAACAAAACGTTAGCAAGGATACCGAAGTATTACTACTGGCCCAGGATGGGAGCAGACGTACAGCAATTTGTCACCTCTTGCGACACGTGCTAGCGGATGAAGAGAAGCAAGCAGAAAAAAACAAGGTTACTTCAGCCTCTACCTGTACCTGAGCAGCCATGGCAGGTCGTTAGCCTCGACTTCATCACAGGTTTCCCTTCGACCTCACGGGGGCACGATTCTATCCTCGTAGTAATCGATAAGTTCTCCAAAATGGTTCACTTCATACCGACCAACGCCACAGCTACAGCTGAAGCAATTGCTCGCCTCTTCTTCGACCGCATCATC